TCCTCAATGAAATACTGACGAACTGAATCCAGCAACATATCAAAAAACTTACTCACCAGAATCAAGTCGGCTTCATCCCTGGGATGCAAGGCTGGTTCAACATACACAAATCAATAAACATAATCCATCACATAAAGAGAACCAATGACAAAAACCACATGATTATCTCAATAGATGCAGAAAAGGCCTTTGACAAAATTCAACAGCATTTCATGCTAAAAACTCTCAATAAACTAGGTATTGAGGGACTATATCTCAAAATAATAAGAGCTATTTATGACAAACCCACAGCCAATATCATACTGAATGGGCAAAAACTGGAAGCATTCCCTTTGAAAACCGGCACAAGGCAAGGATACCCTCTCTCACCACTCCTATTCAACATAGTGTTGGAAGTTCTGGCCAGGGCAATCAGGCAAGAGAAAGGAGTAAAGGTATTCAAATAGAAAAAAAGAAGTCAAATTGTCTCTGTTTGCAGATGACATTATTGTATATTTAGAAAACCCCACCATCTAGCTCAAAATCTCCTTAAGCTGATAAGTAACTTCAGCAGTCTCAGGACAAAAAATCAATGTGCAGAAATCACAAGCATTCCTATACACCAATAACAGACAAACCGCCAAATCATGAGTGAACTCCATTCACAATTGCTACAAATAGAATAAAATACCTAGGAACACAACTTACAAGGGATGTGAAGGACCTCTTCAAGGAGAACTACAAACCACTGCTCAAGGAAATAAGAGAGGACACCAAATAAATAGAAAGACATGACATGCTCATGGATAGGAAGACTCAATATCGTGAAAATGGCCATAATGCCCAAAGTAATTTATAGATTCAATGCCATCCCCATCAAGCTACCATTGACTTTCTTCACAGAATTGGAAAAATCTACTTTAAGTTTCATATGGAACCAAAAAAGAACCCACATAGCCAAGACAATCCTAAGCACAAAGAACAAAGCTGGAGGTATCATGCTACCTGACTTCAAACTATACTGAAAACACATTTTTAATCTAAATTATGTTATTGGATTATAGGACGGGACACATAAAATTAAAATATTTCAGAAAAATTTAGTCTTTTATTCAAAATTAGTAACTTTACATATTAGAAAGTACATTTTTAGTGATTGTCCAAACCGCTAGCCACCATTTATTATTTAAACCCTTTAATATTACAGCAAATATTTAGTTATGCACTGAATCTCCAAACAGGCAAAAAGAATAATCAACTAAAGTTTATATCAATTAAAAGAAAAAATCATTATGCAACTAAAAAAATTCTCTCTCATATTAAGGAAACATAGCACATGCCTAAATAATGTTAGCTCCTTTTCCCCATTTCATAGTAAAGAATCATACAGTCTCCTCTCACTCTTCCTAAGAAAGCATATGAAAGTTCTAGATATAAAAATCTTAAAGTTTTATCTCCCCTAACATTATTTGATCATAAAGTTCCCTGGTCAGTGGAACATAAGACTTTTTCAAGTTATCCATGAAGTAAAGTGGTTCAGAAATTTTCAGTGGATTAAATCCTTCTTCCACCAACCGATACTTCAATAGTTTGAATGTTCCTGTTGCTTCCATTTTTTCCTGTAAAGCAATTACCAGGATGAGTAGAATCATTTAATAACTATAATATATTAATATAGAGTTAATACTATAGACCGTAATATTAAATTATAACATTTTATATCTAGTGATCTCTGTATTTTCTAATAATTTAACACTAGAAATAAAAAAATGTGTTCTAGAATATTAAAATATTTGATTTACCTGTAAACTTTACTCAAATATAAACTCATTCAGCATATAAGAATTATGAACATAATCATTAAACTGATTATAATTATGTCTAAAACACATAGGTTATCTCTTCAATTCAATGCCAATATAATATTATGTATAGAGAATGCTGTAAGATGCTGAAGAGATAAAAGCCACAAAAGACAGCGATTTCTACTACAAGTACACACAAATCTATTATAAAAAGCAGAATACTGTAAGAGCTAGATGGGGTACAGAATGTTTTAAAACATGGCTTAAATTTACCCAGAGGGGTTACTTCAATGCTGTAAAACTTGAGGTATCTCAGTGAATTTCCAAGGTCCTCACAGGATATCTTGTTTTCAAGAGAAACTCAGTGACATCTGTTAGTCACCACTCACAAACTACTAGCTCAAGGTTCACAGTTTCAGTAGTAATTTGTAATACATTCAATGATGTCATTATCTTTGCAAATTTGGGTTTTTGGTAGCTGCTGGGATAAAAAGCAAGTACAGCCAAAAATCATCGTGAAACATGAAATCAGACTGTCCCTGTCCAATCCAATCTAATTCCAAGGTCTGAAGAACTGTGCAGTGCCCAACTTACATCTCCTTAATAAGTGACTGCAGTTATTTGAAAATGAAATGAAAGCATTTATTTATTTATATGGATTATTTTTTCAGGTGGCTACTCATTTGTTAGACCTAAATACTTATTGTTTTTCCTTAACTAGTGAATAAACACATGTTTAGGTATTTGCTTTGACCCAAGAGTGCTATGAGACATTAAAGATGCCATGAGTCTAGAAAGTTTAAGAATCTCTGTTTCAAGGTGTTTAAAGGAGATAAGAGTGTATCTCTTTGTGGGAATCTCAGGTATGGATAAACGGTCTGTTTAAGTGAGATGACATGTAGAGACCCATACAACATTCTATGAGTAGCTTGGCCATTTTTATTTATCCTTTTGGACTATTTGAGTCAACTTCACTTTGAACCCCCTTCCCTGATCTCCCTTCCCTCCTGCATCTCCCCTGATCCAACAGTATAGATATGGCTATACAAGCACATATATCCTTTTACTCTTCTCTTAAAAATCAGCAGCTCACAGTATTTATACAATTTAGTTTTCTGCCATTTTTAAGCTTAATACTATACAAAGTATATTTTCCTGGGTCCTGTAATTTTCTTCAAAATAGAACTTAGAAAATTGTTTTATAAGGTCTCATTTAATTGTCATATTTTAATTAACTTTGCCCTTATTCATGAACTTTTAGAGAGTATCAAAATTTTTACTACTATAGTCTTTTGAGAAATGTATGCATATATAACATTTATACATCTTTGATTACTTCCTAAGATGTATTTTGACTAAGTCAAAATATATGCAAACTGTTAAGAGTGTGATCATATATTACCAAATTGTTTTCTAGAGAGGTTATAACAATTTGTGTTTCCATGAGTAGAAATAAAAGGACCAAGTTCATTTTATCCCAGCCACACTGAATATTATAACATTTCACTTTTTTTGTGACTTACTGGCAAAAAGAGTTCTATTTTTTAATTTGTGCTAAATAGATTTGTAATACAATACTTGTTTGACTCATTTTATCAGAAGTAACTTTTACTTTTGCATTCCTTTTATGAGATCATTTATTACTAACACTCATTTATTAAACAAATATTTGACTGCTGTCAGGCTTTATTTCTAACTATAGCAAATACTTGAATAAACATAACAGTCATAGTCCATGTTCTTTTTAGGTGTTTAAAGATCCTAAAATGCTTTCTAAATTTGTGCAAGGCTGATCTAATCTTCTAAAGTAGTCTTGTGCTAAAATATTTTTTCCACTTAATTAAAGTGAATTTTATGTTGCCCTGGAAAAAAATTCTTAAAATATTATTTATCCTATCAACTTTCTACTCCATCAAAATATATTACTTATGGGGTGGGCTTAGGATGAGGAGGGACAAGAGGGAGATTGGTATGGTTGTAAAAGGACAACATGAGGGAAACTTGTGATTTTGAAATTGTTCATATCTTTACTGTGGTCATGAATGCATGAAGTTGCATGGGTGATAAAACTGTATAGAAAATATACACCCACAAATGAGTGTAAGTAAAGCAGGAGAATTTTTAATAAGATGGGTGGATTATGTTGACATCCTGGTTGTAACAGATCTGCAAAATGTTATCCTTGGGGGAAACCAGGTGAAGGATATACAAGTTCTCTCTTATTTCTTACAACTGCATGTGAATCTACAACTATCTCAAAAAATTTCATTGAAAATATATTACTTCTGCTTCATAGTTACTCACCTTTAGTGTTTCAGAGGGTTGTTGTTAAAATAATCTGAGACAATGTAAAAACTCAAAACAAAAAAGGCAAACGAAATATGTATTATGATAGTTCAGAGGATGTGTCCCATGGAATAAGCAGTGACTTGGCTGCAGTGATTGCTTGGCAAATACTATAAACCTGACTATGATACAGGCTACTGCTCCACTAGGGGTCTAATAGTGAAATAACAAATGTATTCAGAAAAAAAAAATATCTGTGTGGTTGGATGTTAAGAGATGATGAGTACTAATTTGGGGAAATTATATTTGATGCAAAATATTAAATAAACGAATGGTTGAATAAATAAGTAAAGTTACCCAGTAGTTAAGGATATTTGTTTTCTTTTTACTGTACTTCTACCAGTAACCTAACAAGAGATTAAGTCCTCATCCCAGAATAAATAAGCTCAGAATTTCTCACATGGGGAAGGTCCAGGTGACGGGGAATTTGGACAGAACAGCAATAAAAATTAAAAGCAGGATTGCCTAAAGCCAAATGCCTTTATGTTCTGCACACATCTTGCCATCTCTTTGATGTCTCCTTAATGGAACCTAATTCTAGGCACATAGCACCAAATTTTTTCACAAGACGTAAGTAAGATGTGGTTTTGGATTGCCACTGTCACTGGGACCATCATTTTGCTCTGAGGTCCTGACTGAAGAGGAAGAGAGCAATTCTATAATTAGGACAAAGACAGGTATGCCCTAGCATTTCACCATGCCCCCTTTATAATTAGGCTTCAAATATGGCGTCGATCTGCATCAACTCCACATGCCACGCCTCTCACATAACTCACATGTTATCTAAAAGATACAATATTATTTTGCAATTAAACTACCTCCTTGTTTCCTGGTTTTATATTTAATAGTAAACTGCGCCGCTAAAATTACCTGAATTCTTAAAAATCGTGGACACGCATAAGCTGGTAAAGATGTTACAACTTGTTCATAAACTTTTTCCAAATCTAAAGATTTATTTGGTTTTAAAATAATAGAAGCCATTCCTGCTCTTCCTTCATAACCTGAAAAAAAAAAGTTTCAAATAGAGCCATTTGTAAGTACCAAATAAGCTTTAAAAGATAATTCTGTACATGCTAATTGGCACACATGGAGACATTAAATCTATTTCAGTAATAATAAGACAACAGTAGCATAAAAAAGTCTGTATCCTTCCCCGAACATATGATTTACCCCCTAGAAACATCTAAGGACAGGGAAGACCAGAGTCTATCTCTAATTGCCTATACTACAGAAATGAAATACATGGAATGGGCAACACTATAAATTACAATGAATTTGCATCCTACCACCACTAAAACAAATATTAAGAAAGAAAACATTTATTAAAAGGCAACTATATTCCAGCAGAAATATATATCCTAAGCTTTAATGTAAAATATGAAGGGCATATTTTATTTATTTATTTATTTATTTATTTATTTATTGAGACGAAGTTTCGCTCTGTCCCCCAGGCTGGAGTGCAGTGGTGCGATCTTGGCTCACTGCAAGCTCTGCGTCCCGGGTTCATGCCATTCTCCTGCCTCAGCCTCCTGAGTATCTGGGACTACAGGCGCCTGCGACCATGCCCGGCTAATTTTTTGCATTTTTCGTAGAGACAGGGTTTCACCGTGTTAGCCAGGATGGTCTCAATCACCTGACCTCATGATCCGCCTGCCTCGGCCTCCCAAAGTGCTGGGATTACAGGCGTGAGCCCCCACCCCAGCTGAAGGGCATATTTTTAAGAAACTAGAAACTCGTATTTCCGTAATTAATTCCACAAATCATTTAATGATTATCATGCCACCTGTGGATCTTTACAGGGGTCAGAATGTCCTGGAATCTTTCTCCAACACTCGGTGGCTATTTATTAAGTAGTCATTCCCTTCTTCTGCTCTCCCACCCAAACACTCACATCACTGATCTCCCCTGCACCTAAAAGCATTTGCTGAAAAATGGAGAATGGCTGTCTTATGACTTCAAATTGGTCACTTTTCTGTGACATTTTCAACATCATGAGACAATCCTCATATGCATAATTATAAGGATAATGAGTCCAAATTTAAAAGTAATTTTTATAAAGAGCCATCTTAACTAAAAGTGTTTTTAAACATTTAAAGTAGAACATGTTCTTGTTTAGTGGTATGTACAAACACTAGTCATAAAAAGAAAAATAATAGACTAATAAAAAGCTGTAACTGATTCCTAGTAGTGAGTCATTGATCAGAGTTTTCAAGCTTTGCTTAAAAATACACACAGGCATTAAAATTCAGTTGGTACCTTCCCCGTGAAGTAACCATGAACTTTGTTAGCTTGGTCAAGGGCATTACTTGCCAAGGCAGTAATAAAATATTTATCTTAATACACAAAAATTAAAATGTTGAATTAGCAAGACTATTGCAAAACTACAGAATAGTGGAAATTCTATTCTAAGAATCTTTCCCAAATCTGAAATATATTTATACCTGATATAGCCACACCATAGACGTTTGTTTCCTGTATGAAATCCAACATTCCAATAACATCAACAACCTCAGTGGTTGAGACATTTTCTCCTTTCCATCTAAATAAAAAAAATCAAATTCCAGTTAGTGCACCTATATTGGAAAAACTAGGTACCCAGTTTTAGTTTTAGTGTCTTGTATTTGGCTCTGTGCAAGCACCTACTGACCAACATAAGCTGAAAGGCATTTCTAAGAAAGCACTTTGTTGGTAATTCAACAATATCAGCATTGGACTTTTAGTTAAAATTACTTTATATCTCATTGTATAAATTACTTTCTATGTTCTATAATATACATAAAAATAAAATAATTATAAGGATTATCATTACAAAAATATTATTTTGTAAAATAACAATGAAGTACAAAACATTCCTTTTCTCTGGTGATAAGAATTGAAAGTAAAGCTCTAGTTGCCTTTTAATCCACTGACCCATTTCAGTTTCTAGGTGTTAACCCCTTTGGCTCCTTTAATGCTTTTGAATGAATATTTTGTTTTAATTGAAATAACTTTATATAAAGTGAGCTTATAACACGGTACAAGAAGGCAAGGATGTAGAAAGTTACTTATTCAAGCATTCATTCAAGTCATTGGACTAGTAAAGCAAAATAATTTCATAGACCTAAACTAATCTTAGGGAATTAAAAAAGGAAAAGTATGAAAGGGGATTTTTGCTGTTTCAAAATTTTTATCATTAGGCCAAGAATTAGACTACAGTTGACCAAACTGGCTTTTTGTTTTAACCCTACCATTTATATTTTACCTCTGTCTGCCAGCTTTATTTCCTTAAAAAGAAGCTCACTGATTTGTTCTAAACTGATTCAACAAAATAATTATAAAATTTCACAACAAAATTTAACTTGTGGTTCAGTCTAGAAACAGATGGCCAATAAATTTTTTAATGAGAAGACATTAAAGGGAGATAAAAGGGCTCTGTCTGCCTTGAAAGCTAAAGCATATGTGGTCTCTGATGTTTCTATAGAAGCATGGTTCACAATTACAGAACAAGCTGTGCATCCCATGATATTTCATACCTGAAAGTGTCTCCGGTACGGTCCCAAAAATAAAGGAAATTGTCCTGATCCTGGACTATCAAGTCTCCAGTGTTAAGGTAAACATCTCCCTTCTTAAAAACATCACAAAGCAATTTGTCTTTTGTGTGCTTGTAAGGCCCAGCATAGCCAAAGAAGGGATTTTTTGCATGCACTCGAGAAATGAGAAGTCCAGGTTCTCCTGCAAGAAAGAACGACATTTTTGCAGCCATTCGATTAAAACTATTGTTACACACATCATGCATGTATCTATATTATATCTGGCCAGCACAACCAATGCTGCTTATCTCAGCTTCCTCTGAACCTATTTCTGTATTTGACACCATTTACCCTTGGTGCCTATATCTAGCACATCCTTTCATAGATTACCACAAATACAAATTACTTTGGAGAAACTAATAAAAAGGAATTGAATGGAAAGAAAAGGCTCATTAGATTTCTTATACTTCCCAGGTGGATAGACCAATGGCTACTTTTGTTTTGGATTATGTAGATGTTACCACAGATAATATTGACATTTGTTATATAAATAACAACAGTAGTAATAGTGTTAATAACATAACGATAGCATTTTCTTTATTGGGCATTTACCATGAGCCCTTTGCAAATGTCACCTTGCTTATTCTGCATGGAAATCCTTTGATATAATCCCTATTTTACCAGCAAGGAACTAGGACCCAAAGAGGTACAACAGCTGCTATGCTCAGAGAGATAAATGGAACTAGAACTCAAATTTAACTTTTTATGACTTTGTGTGGCAAGGTTTCTGTATAATACTATCTCTCATCCAATACACAAATACATTTTATTTATTATAACAAAATGGTTTATTCCTCTGGTATGCTATTCTGGAAATCTTTGATGGGAAAGAGATGAGCCATTGAAAAGATTTCCTATTCCATGATACTTACTAGTTTCAGTTACGTTTAGACACATTATCTGAAATAATTTTCCAATCAAACTTATTCAAATCAATTAAGATTTTTCTCAGCAATCTGTAAGGTAAAAGCTACTTTGAAGAGAAGGCAAAAGAAAAAAGGACAGCAGCAATCACTGCTCTGGAAGTCTTCAAGGCTATTGTCCACTTGCTATGCCTGCTATAAAGAAATGCAGTGTTCATGTGACTAGATGAAGTTGGAGTCCAGCAAACTATAATACAGAGTGATTTCTGTCTTTTAAGGCTCTTAAAAAAGTAAGTCTCACTCTGTGACCCAAGCTGGAGTGCAGTGGCATGATCATGGCCCACCACAGCCTTGTCTTACCAGACTCAGCCGATCCTCCCACCTCAACTTCCCAAGTAGAGGGGGTTCCGGGTGCATGCCACCAGGCCCAACTAATTTTGAAATTTTTTTGGAAACACAAGGTCTCACCAGGTTGCCCAGCTGATCTAGAACTCTTGGGCTTAAGCAATTCTCCCACCTCAGGCTCCAAAAGTATTGGGATTACTGGCATGAGCCACCACACCCAGTCAATAGTCTTTACTCGACTCCCATTTCTCCCACTCCTGGTCATTCTGGCTTTCAAGGGCACATAGGTCACTAGCCAAAGCAAATCTTCGCTGCTCCAGCAGCGTCTGATAGCATCATCATTATCGTCATCATCATCATTCCCAACACCATCATATCATCATCATCACCATCATTATCATCACCACTATTATACCTATTGAGCACTTTTTGGGTAACAGTCACTATTCTGAGTGTTTTACATATGTAATCCATTTAATTCTCATCACAAACCTACAAGAAAGGCCCTGATAATATCTTCTTCTTCTTTTTTTTTTTTTTTTTTTGAGACAAGAGTATCGCTCTGTCGCCCAGGCTGGAGTGCAGTGGCATGATCTGGGCTCACTGCAAGCTCTACCTCCCTGGTTCACGCCATTCTCCTGCCTCAGCCTCCCGAGTAGCTGGGACTACAGGTGCCCACCACCACGCCCGGCTAATTTTTTGTATTTTTTTAGTAGAGACGGGGTTTCACCATGTTAGTCAGGATGGTCTCGATCTCCTGACCTAGTGATCCACCCACCTCGGCCTCCCAAAGTGCTGGGATTACAGGCGTGAGCCACCGCACCCGGCCAATATCTTCATTTTAAGGTGAAAAAACTGAGGCATAAAAAAAGGAATTTGCCCAATGTCATACAGCTGTCAAATGCAGGAATCGGAGTGTGTGTGTGTGTATATATATATATGTGTGTATGTGTGTGCGCACGTGTGTATGTGTGTGTGTGTGTGTGTGTGTATATATCCATCCAGGAACATCTGACTCCAAAGCCTCACCTCTGTGATATATTCTGTCAGTCTACATTCCCTATATTTCAGAATTTTTCAAGACTTTTACATCTCCCTTAAAATGTATGTTCTTTGGTTTCTTTTATTCGTTTTCAGGATACAGGTGACAGTTTCTTTTCTGACAAACTAATTGTTGCAAATGTTTAAATAGGTCACAGTGTATTTACATCTTTCTTGTTGGGCATAATTTACATTGTGAAGACAAAATGCCTTAATGGAAAAAATACCGAGTAGCTCATAATGAGAATCCAAAATAGAAAAACAGATATTTGGGGTCAACCAGCTTTTTAAGAAAACCTGAGGGTGCATAAGCACAGTTCTGGGATTCAAGTTTTAATATCAGATATTATTGTAATTGTAAGAAATAGACCAGTAGAAAAGAGTGCTTAAGTTCTTTGCACTTTCCTCAGAAATTCCATGGCCAGTGTCTATAGAATAGAATTGGAGAAACATTTGATAAAAGCCAGTAGGCTTGAAATTCAGAGATTCGGGAGATTTGTTTTTTAATAGACAAAGTTTGCATTTTTTTTTTCATCTTTCAGCTACCAGAAAATAAAAACAGGTTTGCCACCTTATCTTCACATTTGAAGTAAAGATTTAGGAAGTCACTTCTGAAATGTAGTTTCAACATATTTTAAGGCAATAAAAATTAATTTTGGCCTGATTTATTCATACTGGATCTCTAAACAATTCTAAGTGCACATCTCTACATTTTATTTTCTAATGTGATTATATGCAGCAGCAAGTTAATTGAGGTACTTGCTTTCATGAAAATTTCTAACCTAAAATTGTAAGAAAGTCTACCTCGGTAGAGAATGGAGGGGAGTGAGAGGGAGAAGCTGAGGAGAGGAAAGTAACAAGCCACATACCAGGTCCCCCAGGAATATACATACATCCCATTTAATTGTCCTCACTGAATAAATATTGTCACTTCTACTTTACATATGAAGAAAATAAGACTTAGACGGGTTAAGTAATCTGTCCAAAGTTGCACCATTTCTAAGTGTCAGAGACCATGTTTAAATCCAAGTTGGCCTGACTTTACACTATATCTAGAATGATGAAATAATTCACTAATTTAGATATTGGACATTTGCCACTGTTCATACTACAAGTTGTAGATTAAGAATAGCATGAGCCAAATAGTTACCACTTTTTTATTTTAATAATTTACTATCTGAATGATCCCTCTGGGGCTCTTAACATCTAAGTAAAATTGTTCCACCTGCATTAAAATTCCAAAGTTAAATTACACAGTGGACCTCGTCATCCTCTCCTTTTGAAATTCACTAATAATCACAGAGGGCCCTCCATATCTGTGATTCCACATCTGCGAATTCAACCAACCTTGGATAGAAAATATTTGGGGAAAAAAGGTAAAATAATACAACAATAAAAATAATACAAATAAAAAATACCATATGACCCTGTTTATGTAGCGTTTACATTGTATTGGGTATTATAAGCAACCTGTTTAAAGTATACAGGAGGATGTGCATACCTCATAGGCAAATACTGTATCATTTTATATAAGGACAAGCATCCATGAATTTTGGTGTCTACCCAGGGTCCTAGAACCAATCCCCCGCGGATACCAAGGGATATCTGTATATGGTAGATCAGAAACTTTGCTTGAGAAGATGTCTTCAAATAGAAGTCTTACCTTTTTTCACATGAATACACCAACCCTGTTCATTTCTCATGGGTTCATCTTTCTGAAAGTCATACTTTATTAAGTCAAAAGTGGAAAGAAGCTGCAAAACAAAAAAAAATCAAATAGAAACAAGCATTTAGTTACTTGTGCAATGACATCTACTATAGTAGACTATGCTAATTGAAATAAATGTTGGAATATGGATTTATTAAAACAACTTCTACTGAAGGCAAATTAAATATTTAAAACTCAAAACTAAAGGTATTAGTAAACAGCAGTCATTTACTGGCGTTTACTTTAATTTCTTTTGTGGTACACTTTACTTAGCAAAACAATACTAATTTTAATCAAGATACTGAAACAATCCAGGCATTCAATGAATAGTCTGTTAACTGCCCGTAAAAGGACCATTTTCCGCAGCCATTTATTTAAAGTAGCCCTGGAAGTGAAAAGTTTTCATAGAACTAAAATGTAAGCTACATTAATGTAAGAATGGTATTGTTTATTTTTTCCTCACAGTATCTAAAAAAACAAACAAACAAAAAAGCCAAAACATATCAAATGCCTAAAAAGTATGTTTACTTGACAGCCGCTTTGTCCTTTTCCTGTAAACCTTTCCCCTGAGCCTTTCACTTTAATGCTCCTAAACTAACATTTAGTGCTTCTCCACACTCTTTGGTATGAGATGATTAATTGATTAGAAAACACCCATCACATCAGGAAGCAAAAATTGGATGTCTCCTCTCATCCCCAAATGTTTTCAGTTACTCTGCTCCTATCATGTCCATATTATCATGTCATGCAGGCTCATTTGTCCACTAAATTCCCACCCTGGGAGAGAACTGCAGACTGGTTTAGTCCAATCTCCTCCTCTATATATATATATATATATTTTGAGACAGTGTCTCACTCTTGTCACCCAGGCTGCAGTGCAGTGAGGAGATCTCGTCTCACTGCAACCTCTGCCTCCCAGGCTCAAGCAATCCTACCAACTTAGCCCCCCATGCAGCTGGGCTTACAGGCATGAGCCACTTCACCCAGCCCTCTCATTTTTATTCTATAAGAAAACTGAGGTTCTACTCAGCAATTAAGCAAGCTCAGTTAGAAAATGGTAAACTAACATGAATGTAATAAAATGAAGTGAAATAAAATAATAATAAAGAAAGATGAATGGGGGGAAAGCAGGAGAAGAGAAATGAACAAATATAGAACAAATATAGAACAAAGATGAATGGGGGAAAAGCAGGAGAAAATGAACAAATATAGAACAAATAAGTGGGAAAAGATAAGATGATTGAGATAGATGCAATAGTATTATTTATCATCAAAGATTAAATGCAAATACCTCTGGTTCTTAGCATTAGTAAAATAAGCATGTAACTTGAATCACAACGCATTATTTGAATTAAAATATAAATGAGAGCAATGAACATTCATTGGGCACTAACTATATGGGGGGCACTGTTTAATGTAATCATCAAAACATCCTCTAAGGTAGAAATTAATATTATCCTATTTTAGGATTAGAGCCAATGACCAATGAAAGAGGCAACAAGGCAAATATATTGTTATTCTAGATATAAAGACTGTTTATTAAAATATGAACTTGCATCTTGTTGGTCTTTGTCTATAATTGGGATAACAGGATATTGGCCACTTGCCTAATGGCTAGTAGAAAGAAAGAGTCCAGAAATTCCGGAACTGCCTTTATCATCTTGGCCAAACAAGAACAGACCCCTGTCCATTACTTATTCTTTTTTCTCCTATTTTAACATGTTTTGCTTTTTGGAAAATTTGCCCAGTGACTTGTGATGTCAGCTTCAGTGTTATTTCTTTTAGATTAATTGGGCAACCATGTATGTGGGTGAGATTCATTCCACAGCAAATTACAGTGTGTCTGTTATCAGAAAAAGGGGACTTGATGGTCAGAAATTGAATAATTTTATAATTCAAATAAAATTAAATATATCACAGCATTTTCTAGCAGTACCCTGGAGCAGAGGATTAATGCTCAGCTAGAAATATTTCTATTCTCCTTCCTGCCTTCAGGAGGTCCTCATGATATTACAAAAATCATGTATAATGGCTGCATTATACTACAAATTCAAAAAATAGATGCCACACCTTAAAATCCCCCAAATGTACATGTTTATGTATGTGTGTATGTGTACATGTCTGGAGCACAGCTGCAGGGGGTCCCATTCATAGCAGAACTGTGCAATGAACACACACCTATGTAGCTGTACGCATTGGCCCTGGGAGGTTTTATCCATACCTACCTATCTTTGCAGATTCAGATTTGTAAATTTATGAGTTGGAAAAGGAACACAAAGTTAATTTCCTTCGTTAATACACGAGGAAACTCTGAACCGAGAGAAAAGTAACTTGTTAAAGTCACAAAGTGAAATAACGGTAGAGTCGGGAATAGAGTTATCAGTCCCTGTGTAGTAAAGAATTTAACCTTGTCCCCAAAAAAGATCCCAGCTTCTGGGAGGTGACCTCTAAGTCCTTGGAATATCATTCTTAATAGGAGTGCATTTTTTTGTCTAAGACCTCTGGGCAACTAGATGTCAACAGTATGATTTAGAATGGGGTCTCTGAGGCACATGAACAATGTGAGGTAGGCTGGGGGCTTTGCATCACCCAGCTTGACCTCCTAAGGGGCAGAGATGGAGGTAAGCCATGTGAGCAGTCAACCTGAATTACACAACCAAGCCCCCAGAAAGACTGGACATCAAGGCTCCCATGAGCTTTCCCAGTTGGCACTAGTTTGTGCATATTTTTACACAATTCCAGGAAAGTAATGCTGTTCTGACTCCACAACACAGCATATCTGGAAGCTTCACCCTTGGTACCCTCCTGGATTCTGCCTTACATATGACATCCCTAGGATGATTATAATCTAGATCCTTTAGATGTGATAAGCTGAGTTTTGTGAGTCCTTTTAGCAAATTATCAAACCTGAGAGTGGTCTTCAGGGACTCCTGAAATTATAACTGATGTCAGAAATGAGTGGTCTTGTGGGGACTGTTCTCTTATTTTGAAGTTGTCTAACTTTTCTTATCCCTAAAAGATGCCTACTTTTAAGGCAATAAAACAGCTTATGAAAATGGTTAAAGAAATGAGCCATTTTATTAATCTCATATATTATTTTTAAATTTAGGTTTAGATGGTATTTAAATTTTAAATTCCATTGTATCTATGGATTTGCCAATATGACAGGAGAATTACCATTTCTTCCTTTCCTCCCTCCCAACTCCCATTTTTGTTAGTGTTATAATTATTTTTACATTGTCAAGTTTTATTCCATGTAAAAACAATTCAGAGTGGTTCAATCTTCTATATGAGAATTGACTCAATGTTCACCATCAGGCATTTTAACTGAAGGTCATTCTTTCATTTCTAAGTTACGGTTTATCTTCAAGTTGGTCATTATTTTTCATTCAGTGAATTTTACAAAGAAATATTGCATTCCTATAAATATGAGGGTATTATAGATTCTGATTTCTTAAAACTTTGAGAAAACATCCTAGAAAAATTCTTAGGTGAAGTCAACTCTTTCCTTGTTTCCTAACCTTGAGTGTTTTATTTTGAGAATGCCTGAGATATTTCCCACCCTCACCTGTGCTACACTTTGCTCATCCTTTGCTTTTCCTACCTCAAAATCTCCTTAAGGTTCTTTTTGTTTCATAATTTCACCAGGATATATTTTTATTATAAGTATTCTGCCCCATATACTGTACTCTTTTGCTAAAGATTCAAGTTTGTACCTTAAGGAAATGTTCTTCTACTACGGTAGAAATAATTATTTTTTTCTTTGATCTGTTCTTTTCTGCAGGAACACCAATTAAGGATGTATCAGATCATTGTCTATGTTTTCAAAATCCTTTTTCTTCATTTTTAAATTATCATTTGCTTGCTCTTTTTACTGTGTTTGTGGGACTCCTTAATTCCGCTCATCTTTCTCCCTAACAACATGTACATTCCTTTTGATTTTAAGTTCTTTTATGTGATGCTCATTTGTGTAATATTTACATTTTTTCCTCTATTTTTTTCTTTGAGCTGAGCATGCTTACTTTTTAGTTCATTTTGTTGATTTATGTTTGTCCTTGATCCTTTTTCTTTTCTGCGCTCTTATTTTTAAAGAGAATATTATTGCAATTTTTCAAGCCTGTGAGAAATTGTTTCTCTAAACATTTCCTGGTCGTTTTGGGAAACTTACTATTTTGATGTGCATTCATTTTTTTTCCAGCTGCCTTTTATTTTTGATTCATTTTCTGTTTTTTTTCTGAGCTTTATTTCATGTATGTATAAAATGTGCATTCATTTTTTTCATCTGCCTTTTATTTAGATTCATTTTCTCCCTTTTTTCAAGCTTTATCTTTGTATTTTATGTTTGACTCTTCCTATTTTCCCCAGGTGAAAATACTACAGAAAAAGAGTAGTTCATAATTCTACTTGAGTTTGTCTCTCAAATAAGGTGTCACTAAATTTTTTATATTGTTTGCCTTGGGAGAATATGTGGGACAATATTTCTTCAGTTTTATGCATTAAAATAGTAAGTGTAGCACATAAAGACAATGGGTTATAGGAACTCTGTTGCTGCCTTATAATTATACTTCACTTGTAACATTTTATCTCTGGAGACTGCTTCCCTCCCAGATAATAAGCATGAGCCTCCATTAGGCTAGCATTTTTGAGAGACACTTATCAAATCTCCTCACTTAATTATGAGAAAATCATTGAACCAAATTTTTCTAGTTACCCACTATCTAAGAAAACAACATGTGAATAAAATGATAAAAGGCAGACTAGAAGACATGTAGTATTAGGCACAACTTTGTTTTTTCATTTCCAAACTGAAAAAGAAAACTAAAATGAGTTGAAAAACAGAGGTTTTCCAAATAAATTGAAGACAACCATGACTTTTTACATGATTGACATTATTACAGTTGACAGAAAATTTAAAGAATTAGAAAATTATAATAAAGTCAGTTATATAAAATACAAATCATCATACCCTTGTTGGTTGCTTTAGAATGACTCAGCTTCACAAAGGGGCTCAATATCAATACCAAATTTGTAAAGGAACCAGTGCAATGAATTGAGAAAATTAACCGCAAGGAATGTAAAACTCAGTAAAATCAGCACTTACTTTCCCCAAAATGCTTTTGTTCAGAATAAAGTGCATTTCTGAGATGTCAACTATACCCTCAAAATCCCAAAAGAATGCACTATAAAAATAGTTTGCATTTTCTTTAGGTTTAGAGCATTACCGTTATTTACACTAGCTTTGAATGGGCAACTAGACTGAAAAAGTGAGCTGCTACGGCATGAAAAACACATGTCTGCCAATTCCTTCCAGACACTGAAAAAATCACCACGGATTAGAAAAGCAAATACTTTGTTGCTTCCAGGTGTTCTTTGAGGTATGGCAGTTTATTATACAGAAAACTTTACCTATAAAGCTAAAGCAGTTAGGGATGAAAGTGATAAAAATGCACCAAAGTTCGCATTATGGGATTCTTAAAGATCTCTTTAAAAGCAGCTCTAAATATGGCTTGAGTAGGGAGCTCTGGAAATCTCAAAAGCAATAATATAGGATAGTGCTACTTTCAGAGAACAGGTGAGGCCACTAAGGAAACACACCTGAGGGGAGAGATTATCAAACAAAGACTTTCCTCATACATGTGTGCCTGTAGGAAGTACTTTTGTTCCTGCACTGTTATGTCAGGTTTAGGAGTCAGAAAGTGAGTTGGGAAGTTTTTTCTCCTTTTGCATTATCTGGAAGAGTTTGTAGGAGAGGAATCATTTGCTCTTGAATATTCACTATCCTGAGTGGGAAAGCTATCTGAAACTAAGGGAAGATGTTGGAGTATGAATTTATTTCATTTAGTGTGATAAAATAATTCGAGTCAACTCTAGTAAGTTGTACATTTCTAGAAATTTTTCCAATTCATCTATAATTTCAAGTTTATTGATATGAACTTATTCAACATATCCTCTTTTACTGTCTTAATGTCTAAAGTATCAGCAGCAATGTTCCCTTTTCCATTCCTGATATTATTTCTGCCTTCTATCAATCAGATTCGATTTCTTTACTTTTTAAAAATTATATTTCTATCTATTTTTATATTCCTCACCAAATATTTTTTCTATGTCATTAATTTCTGCTCTTTATTACGTCCTTCCTTTTATTTCTTTTGAGTTTATTTTAGATGTCCTTTTAAAACTTAACTTACAGAGATGGTTACTGAGCTCCATCCAATTTTCAGGTATTCTTGGCTAAGTGCACAAGTTTTTCCATGTAATATTTTCATTAGGAGGTAGCTCACAGTATCTTCTAATTTCTATTATGATTTTTTCTTTGATGAATGGAAATTTAGAAATGTTTTATTTCCAAATATATAGGAGGTTATCTAGTTGTCTTTTACAAAAATTATTTCTACCAACAATTAAACTGTTTTCAGAGAACATAATTTAAATATATTCAATCCTTTGAAATTTGTTGGAATTACCCAACTGGCCCAGGAACTTCTGTAAATGTTTCAAAAGTGTTTGAATACAATAGACACACTGCAGTTGTTAGATGCAGGGTTTTCATATGTCAATTAGCAGTTTATTATTATAGATTATTGAAGATTTATTTTCTCTTGCAGCTATATCAGTTTTGCTTTATAAAGGTTGAGACTGCTATGTTTATTTTTGCCTTTGTTCTTAAAAAATTATTGTTGAATATAAGTTCCAGTTTGACAGTTATTTTTTCCAAGCCAGTGGAAGGTAAATGTCCACTGTCTTTTGTGTTTTGTGGTTGCTATTGAGAAATCAGCTGTCAATCTTCTCCTCCTAAAAAGTTGATTTATTTGGCTACTTTTAAGATTTTAGTGGTATCTTAATATAGTTTTAAAATTATTAAAAGCCGGTATAGAATTGAGTGGTATAAACATTGAAAGATAAGTAGAAATAGTGGAATAAAAACACTTAAGGAAAACGGAAAGAGTCAAATTAACATATATCAGGGCCTATGCTTGCTATTTATAAATTACATCATTAAATTTGGAAACTGAACAAGAAAAGGCATCATTATGGTGACATGAGAGAGAAAACACGGAAGATAACTGAGGTTCACAAAACCTGTACCCTCGTCTCTCACACTGAGGCCACTACTCTATTTCTAGAAATTCTCAAAAAAAAAAAAAAAAAAAAAAAAAAAGGTGATAATATTTACCACAATTTACAAGCACAATATCCAAGAGAGCTGGCAGACCTCAATGTGCTTTTTTTTGGGGGGGGGGGGTGGTGGTGGGGGAGGCTGGAGTGCAGTCGCGTGATCTCCGCTCACTGCAAGCTCTGCCTCCCGGGTTCACGCCATTCTTCCGCCTCAGCCTCCCGAGTAGCTGGCACTACAGGTGCCGGCCACCATGCCCGGCTAATTTTGTTTTTGTATTTTTAGTAGAGTCGGGGTTTCACCGTGTTAGCCAGGATGGTCTTTATCTCCTGACCTCATGATCTGCCCACCTCGGCCTCCCAAAGTGCTGGAATTAGGCGTGAGCCACCGCGCCAATGTATTTCTTTAATAAGGAAAATGCTGTACTTACTTTGTGAAAGAAATTTGCTCTCCCAATTGCTCCAATTTTCCCAGTGTAGTTCATGAAAGATATGTTTGATTCAGTAGCTGCATAAAGTTCACACACCTTTATATTTCCAAATCTGTCTAAAAATTCTCTCCATACATCACTCCGCATACCGTTTCCAATTGCCAAACGCACCTTATGATCCCTTTCTCCTTCTCTCTGTTAGAGGAAAATGTTTTACTTGTAATTAATTCCAGTTTCCAGTTGTTTCTTTCATTATTATTATTTAAATGAAAAATGTCACAGAAGTAAACTGCATTGTGCAATAATAGAAGGGAAGCTAAAATATGTGTATAAGTCTATTGCAGAACTGTGTCCAAATTCTAATGAAAGTAACACTGGCCAAGAATAATACAGTTTGTGTTTTTCCATATCTGGGAACAGCTCATTCTAAATTGCAGATCACTAAAGGCTTTTTTGAGTAAATGTCAGGTAAAGAAGAAAGCATTTTTCAGGAAGAAAAAAAGCATTACTTTGATAATATTATGAAACATACTTAAGTCTGGATGTCCAGGCTTAGCAGTAATTAGCTATATAATTCTGAACAAGATATTAACTCCTAACTCTGATTCTCAGTTTATTCACCTATTTTAAGAAAGGTAATAATAACTGTCTTCCTTATATACTGTAGTGTATAGTTAATACACAGTGAATAACATAGAGTAAACAATAATTTGAGGCCATAGAATCAAAGTAATATTTGACTTGTAAATATTATGGCAACTGTATGTGACTATTATTTTAGAATATTCTCACATTTTTACTTTTTGTTCATATTTTAGAATTAAAGGAAGATATAGGATTCTATTTTGTTCTATATTCAATAAGTAATGTTTTAACTAACATGAACTTTTACACTCACCTAAAATTAGAGTAAGAATATATTATCAGTGTAGTCACAATAAATCCATTATTTGCTCTGATTACCTCCATCATCACCAAAAAATGCAAAATAACAAGATGTAATAATAAATCAGCAACAACAATAAAATAGAGAAATTGGCTTCTTTGCTACCTATAATTTAAAATGATCAATGGATCACATTATTCATTTCAGTTTCTTCTCTAAACACCATTTAAATGGTTTTAAAGGGAATATTTTAATCTATGAATTTTCAAGAATAAACAGAAGTGAGTTGAGAGGTAATTTTGGAAACTGAAAAGTGAAGAGACAAAAGGACATGTGTTTGAGCAGAATGGATAAGGCTGAAATCTAAGCCTGCAGCTTAGCACCCAACAAAGGCTCCTGAAAGTGTCAAGCAAGCATCAAAAAGAATGAGGAAAGCAGAAAGCCTAGTAGGAAATTTGTTTAAGAAGCAGTTGTATAACTAAATATCTAAATACAGACAAAGTGTCTGGGAGTCTGCCCTTGCTACACATTGGCCAAAGACTGGAAATTTGTCTCTGGAGATGTCTAACCAGACACCAGTTTGGGCTGAGGAACTTACTGTGAAAATTAATTTTATAAAATAGAGTCCTTCACATCATGCCCAACTAAAATGGATTCGGAGGCCATGGAGAAAGGCACCGAGGTCATGCATGCCTGTTCCAGAAACTGTTTTTGTAATTGAAAAGCAAAAGCACAAAGACCTACTGTAACTCTAAGTCTTACCTGGTAATTGTTGACACTCATCAATCAGAACTCGCCAGCTCCAATAAGACACTGCCAGTACCAGTGAAACTTCCTTCAAAACAGCTTATATAACTTTGCTTGTTTTCCCAATTAAACCCCAGCCGTTCCTTTTGTTCCTCAGACACACCTAGAGGCTACGCTGTTCTATGTGTTCCAAATTGCAATCTTTCGTTTCCAGATAATCTCTTTGCTTAGAGATGCATCTCTATGAAATTTTTATTTCAAGTTAACATTATAGAAAACAGAAGGGTTAAATGAAAGTCTACATACTAAAAGATGAGATCACTAAACTCTTCTCCTGCTCTGGTATCAGAATTCCGACACCCCAAATCATATACCAGAGCAGGAAGCTATTCAGTTACTATCAAGGAAACTGGTCAGTCCAAGAGAAAAGATACTGACTTCTGGAAGTATCTCAATAAAATGGCTGGATCCTCACTTAATCACCCTAGAACCTGAGCCTTTTGTTGACAAATCCCAGCTATGTGCCATCAGGTATTTAGTGCCTCACACAAAGTACATGTCAAAAATACCTACAAGTGGAGCCCTATAGAATAATAAAATGAATGGAGAAGAGGTAATTCTGAAGAGATTTTAACTGAGAATTTTCCAAAAGTGATAGAAAGACGTGAAGCCATGAAAAAACAAAACAAAACAAAACAAACAAACAAAAAAACACACACACACACACACACACACAACTAAAACCTCAGACAGATTAAATACCAGGGAAATACAGTTAGACATTTTTTGGCAAAATTGCTAAGAAGAAAAAGTATATAAAAATTAGAGAAACAAAGAGGGAGAATTTTAAAAGCAGGCAGAAAGAAATAGAAACATCGTTTCCAAAGGGGCAACATGAATATTTAAGGCTGACATTTCAACAATGACCATAAGCCTGGAAGACAATATGATAATATTTTAAAGCTAGTACAAGAAAATAATTGTCAACCTAGGATTCTATATTCAGCTAAAGAATTATTCAAAACTAAAGGAAAAACATGTTTTCAGACAAATAAAAATGGAATATTTTGTTTTTAGTACAATGGTACAGATGGAACACTAAAGGCAGTTCTTAGCACCAAAGAAAACAATATTATATAGGAGCAAAGAAACAAAAACCAGGAAGGAATGAAGAGGACCAGAAAAGAGAAGTGTTACAAAGTTCTTGCATTGTAAAGAAGTGGAAAATATGCTATTTGAAGATAGAATGTAGTAAGTTAAAAATTAATCTTGTATCCTTCTAGGTAATTACTCAAAGACAAATACTTCAATAAATAAAACAAATATAAAAGGATGTATAATTAAAGAGATAATCAATGAAAACTAATAATAAAAATATTATTTCACAAGAAGATTAAGGGGGAAAGGGAACAAATAACAGATGAGACAACAAGAAAAAAATAGGAAGATAGAAGCTATAAAAGCAAATATATCATAAATACATCAAATGTAAATGGACTAAATATGCAATCATGGAAAAAACTTTTAGAATGCATAAAAATATAAAATTCAACTATATACTGATTATGAAAACTACATCTTAAATCTTACATGAGCCCAAAATTGAAGGTAGTTGGATGGAAAAACGTAAGCCATACAAGAGGAAGTTAGTATGACTATACTAATATCTGACAAAGTAGACCTTAAGTAAAGAAACACTCCTGGAGATAAAGAGGGATAATTAATAATAATAAAAGGGTCAATTCACTGTATGGATAGCAACCTTAAATTTCTATTTACCTAAGAATGTAGTCAACTATATAAAGCAAAAATTGACAGAGCTAAAATAGACTGAGATATTTTTAACTTATCTCTCTACTGATAGAATAAGCAGGAAAAAAACCATAAGAATATGGAAGTTTAAAGAAAACTAACCAACTTGACCTAATGTATGTATAAAGAACAGTATAACAAGTCACTGAAGAATGCACATTTTTTTCAAGTACCCATGAAACATTTATCAAAAATAGATCAATCATTTGTTGAGTTTTACAGCAAGTGTCAGCCAAATTCAAAGCATTAGGCTTCATTCAAACTATGTTCTCTGACCACAATAAAATTAAACCATAGATCAATTACAAAAAGAAAACTAGAAAATCTCCAAATGTTTGCATAATAATAATACAAGTTTAAACAACCCATGGGTAAAAGAAAAAAATTACAATGGAAATTAAAAAAATATTCTGAACTGTATAAGAAAAATAAGACAGAATAAAAATTATGCTATGCAGCAAAAGCAATACATTAAAAATACATATTTTTATATTTTAAAAAGTATATATGTATAAATAATAGTTTGATATATATCTTATATAATATACTTATATATACTTATATAATGTATGTGCATATATTTGTATCGAACTATAATATATGTATGTATATGTATATTTATGTAACTGTATATAGCTATATCTATATACATATCTTTTCAAGGGTATTTGTGTGGCAAACAGGCTTGGAAGCTAGAGATGGTTTTTGGGTCACAGAGAAAATTTATTTACTTTCCATGATAGTAAAGTCTCCCTCCTCTTCTGGTAGAAAATTTGTTTACATACAAGAAGATTTACTTGCATATCTTTATTAACTCTTTCTCAGATATAAAGAAAGGACAGGTTTATCAGCAGCCCCTTAAATGACTGGGAAGCTCCTAAGGGCAGTGTTCTCAGCTGAGGCACAGACCTATGCCACAGATGTAGCATCCACCTAGGCCCACCTCTGCATTCCCCATAGGATGTGTGGGGAGAGGGAACTGTTGTGAACTTGAGATGTGAACAGAAGGTTATCATGCTTTCTGTGCTGTATAAATCCATCTGAGTTCATTCTTTCCTTACTAACCAGTTTTATGGAAATATGGTGAGCCAATCAAGAAGCTATGGTGTTGTTTATGGACTGCTTGAATGATTGACAGTGTTGAGCAGGTACTTCTCAAAGAATATCTCCAAGCATCCAGTAAGTATATGAGAATATGCTTAACATCATTCATCATCAGAGGCTACAAATCAAAACACCATGAAGTAGCAACAAACATTTACAAACATTGTGATTTCTTCTTTAGCACTATAAATTTTCCAACAGGTGTTGGCAAGGGCATGGAACAACTGGCACTCTCATAGACCATGGGCAGGAGTGCCTATTACTGCTGCCACTTTGATTAGCAATATCTTCTAATGCTGAAATATGCATATAATACAACCTATCCATTCCACTCCTAATTACCAATAGAAATATGTACATACATCTGCCAAAAGACACATATAAGAATGTTCCTAGCATCATTAATCATATTAAGTCTCAATTGAAAGCAATCCAAATCCATCAATAGTAAAATAGATATTTTTTAAATGTTGTGTTATAGTAACATAATGGAATAGTCTTCTATTAGTTTTCTATTGCTGCCCTACAAATTTTCACAAACTTGGACCCTTCAAACAATGCCAAGTTACTATCTCACAATGTCTGTAGGTCAGAAGTCCACATCAACTTCACTGGATTGTGTGATTCAGGACTCACAAAACTGAAA